GGGAAGCCACCTCTGATGTGAGGTCTGGTACAGGCCACCTGCACAGGGCAGACATGTGGGTGTGTTTGCTTGTAGGTGGCTACACCCCACATTGTCCTGGCAATTGTCTTGTGTCTTGTTTCACATCTCCCTTAACACTGAAGTCCTTGAGTGTGACATTTAATCTCCTTGCACAGGTACCTGACTGTTCTCTTGGTCAGCTCACGAACAATTTCCATGGGACAAGCAACCTGAGCACCAGGGCCTCACACTGCTGGGCTGGGCTGAGACTTTCTGGCTCCCCCAAGAGCTCTGAGCTCTGCTGAGGGATGCCTGAGATGACATCAAACACTGGGTGATCTGCTCACACCTGGCAAATAAGGTAAAGAGGACAGGGGGTCATCAGAGTAAGGCTGGCTCTGGGAGTGTGGGTGACTGGACTGGGGCTGGAGGGTTACGTGGAAGTGCTCTTCCATGGTCAGTCCTTAAGCTCTGTACGCTGAAGCAGGGCTGCCCTGGGCGTGGGCCTGCGGGGTTTGGCTGAGACAACTGCTCTCAGCTGTGCCCACAGCCCTCTCCCCTGACTCTCTGCCTGTGATTTCTGAAGCCATGCTCCTGTTCTCTGCCTTTCTTACTTTCCTTCCTCCCTCCCTTCCTTCTTCCTTTCCTTCCTCCTTTCATTCTTTCCTACGGGGCTGCCACTGCCCTACAGCATCTTCCCATACCACAACCCCACCCCAACAGACACACCAAAGAGAGCTCCGGTTGTTTAGTCCCTTTATTGTCACCCCACAGGGCACAGCTACATCCTCTGCACCGGCTTAATGCCCAGGATGTCGAACCCTTTGGCCATGATGGTGGCAGTGGCTTCGCAGAGCAGCAGCCTCCACATGTTCACCTTCACGATCTGGCCTGCAAAACACCAACAAAGGAGCTGGAGCAGCTGCTCACTAACGTCACCTTCTCCAGGGGAACCCACCCACCTGCAAGGCTGAGCCCCCTCCCGTTGTCCCCAGGTCGGGACAACTGACCAGCCCTTGTGTTTCCAGGCTGCTCACCAGCCTCTACTTCACCCTCCTGCTCGTAGGCAGATGACGACACAGCCTGTGCCAGCCACCTCCAGTCCTTCCCCATGAACAACGCTCATTCTGCAGCAGCAAGTAGCGTGACAACAGCCTTCCCAGCACAGGAAACACCGCGCAGATTGCCTGTAGGATGGTCTATGACACCCCCAGGCCAAACACTCACCACTCTGCCTGTCTTTCTCTACGCAGTAGCAGTTGTCATAGAACTCAGTGAAGGTGGTGGCCAGCTCATAAAGGTAGTCACAGAGAGTGTGCAGTAACAAGTCCTCCAGGATCTTCTGCAGGATCTCAGGGAACCTCAGGATGCACTTGCCCAGTTTCCACTCCTTCTCATGGTCCAGGATAAGCACCTCCTCCCTGGCTGCCTTCCGCAGCATCTGCTCGTCAATACTGGCCAGGCGAGCGATAGCCCTGAAATGATTCAAACCATCTTGTCAGGGTCCCACTGTTCAACCTGCCCCAGGGCCAGAGAGCAGTTAGTCACCTGTCTGGCCTGTATCAGAGCTAGCATAGGCCACCTGCCGGTCTCCTCACTTGCCCAGTCCTGGGCTGCTAGCCCAGAAGAGAGCCGTCAGCGCTGGGAACACACACAGCGTGCTGCCCTCTGAGCAACCCAGCAGGGAGGGCTGTGCTCCAGGCACAGGCAGTGACAAGGACAGCTGATGCTGCCAAGCAAACCAGGCCTCAGGGTGCCAGAAAAACTGGGTGGGGTATGGCAATACGCACACAACGCCCAGCAGCTTCTGCAATATGGGACCACCCCTTTCCAACCACCTAAACCTTCTAACGGAACGACCAGAAACTCCCACAGTTCCCTCCCTGCTAGCTGGGATGTATGTCACACAGAGGAGCCCTGTTTCAGACAGCAGAATCCAGTGACAAATAAAACCTCACCTATGGCCGCAGCAGTGGAGCTGGCCTCTCTTACCAACTACCCCCAGCAGCAACTAAGTCACCCCTTTCTCCACATCTCTGCATCGATAAAGATGCAGAGAGCATCTGAGAGCAACTCCAGACAACTCCCTGCACCCTCAGCCTACCTGATCCGGGTGAAGGCATACAGCAAATAAGCAGCTGTATTTCCTCGGTCGTCCAGCATCTTGTCAAAGGAGAACACGTAATCGTTTAGTCTGTTGTGGGAGAGATCTGCGTATTTAATACACCCAAAAGCGACCGACGTCTGGGCAGCTTTCAGCTCTTCTGCCGTGAGGACCTGTTGTAATTTCAAAGCAGGCACCGGTCAGGAGGATGAATGCGACGCCGGCATCACCAACCACAGTGTGCAGCCCTGGCCGCTTGGCACAGCTCAAGAGGAAAGGCCAGGCTGTGAGGGGATTTTACCCACGTGGTACTCAGCAAAAAACTCAGATCCCCCTTCCCACCCTGGGGTACCACGCAACCCCACATCGACCCTTCACTTCTGCCATCAAACAGGACTGCAGCCCTGCCCAGGTTGTGGCTGCCTCCCTCTACTTCTGAAGGCCCACAAGACCTCTGTGCCCCAGGATGACAAAGTGACCTTCACACTGCGCTCCTGCTTCTTACAAACTGCACGTACGTGTAACAGCCACGTGGCCCTCTTGCCCTTACAGAGCATTCTGGACAGTCCAAACACTCATTAAACCCCTCACTGGTGGCACAGTGCCCTGTCAGCGTGGCAAAGCACTTTGTGTCTGACTTGTATGACCCTTGGGAAGATTTTCACAGTGTTTTTTCCTGTGTTTCCTTGTGTTTCTGTTTAACAAAGGGACACTACACTTTCACCCTACCCTGCACAGTACCGAGGAGCTGTGCTTCTCAGTTTCACTGCCTCGCACAGTGTTTGGTGCTTCTGTTCCATCCAATGTCCAGTTCTCTCCAGGTCATCAAGACATGAGACAGAAATCTCATTAAGCAAAGGTCTTCCAGCAAACTCAGCCACAGCCTTGAAAGGGTGAAGCCAACCTGCAGAACCTCAACCGTTCATCACCAGAGGTCACTGTCAGCCTGGTAGGTCAAGCCTGCAACTTCATATTCTGTCACCTGCATCCTGCACCAGGGAGACGTGACAGTACCCGTGATGCCAGCTGTCCTGCCAGGCCCAGCTTCTCTCTCCCATCCTCAAAAAGCTCTGCAGTACCAGCCAGAGGCTGGTACGCTGCCTGCAGCTCACATTTTCTCACATGCTATAAACTCAGGGATGCTCTTCTTTCCCCCAGGCAGCACCTTGCACTGTTATCAAATAATCACACCCATTGTGCACACAAACCCTGGCTGAGTCGGCAGTGTCCACCTTCTCAGCTTAGAATGCAGTAACCGTGAGCCTGTGAACAAATCTGAGAAGTTCTCAGAAAAGATAAGCAATTTGTAACAATTACCTTGTCCCGTTCCTTGTCTTTCAGCTTGTCCATAGCTCGTTTCAGCCCTTCTTCCAGCAGATCTACAAGACGCACTGTATCCCCTGACCGAGTTTTGAACTTCTTCCTGAAAACACACAGCCAGAACGACCACGTGCATAAGAGGCAAAACACTTCCACCACGTGGGCCCAAGCAGGTACAGGACATGCATCAGGACTTCTTGCAGGGAGGGGTGACCAGGAAGGCTTCAGCAGTGAGAACTGCCCCAGTTCCAGAGATCAGGCAGGACACAACACCAGTGCCCTGCCCTGCCCAGCAAGACACCTTCGATTTTGTAACAAACCTACAGCAAAGCCACCCCGTCTGCAACAGCACGTCACTGCCAGAGCACACAGAGGCACAAGGACAACTCTGTGGGGCACGAGGACCCGGCCTGCAGATCACGACACAAGAGGTTCTTTTCCCAACTTTCATTTTACCTACCATGAGGCAGGTAGAAAATAATGGAAATCGTGGCCTTTACTGCTGCCATCTCCCAGTATTCACATCAGCTTCCACTGCACTTCCACCAGGCATTCCCAGTGCCCCTCCCCTGCAGAAGCCAGGCCCAAGAGAGAGAACCTGACCACAGCACCAGTGACCACGACACACAATGAAACAACACAGTTATGAATAACAGCATGGGATGTAATGCTCTTTTTTTTTTTTGACATGCCACATATGTACTTGTCAACAAAAATGAGCAAGTCTTGTCCAGTCACTCAAACACCCTCTTCAGAGCACTCACAGAGGAAAAACTACTCCCAAAGACTTACTTGTCTTCTCCCAGCACCACTCCGAACGCAGCATGGGACACTCTGGTGACTTTGGGATCGTACCAGCCGATCATCTGTCCAGCTGCAAACACTGTTTGCAAATGCACCGACTGCAAGGAACAGACACCAACAACTGGTTCTCAACCCACTCCTCCTGTTTGCGTCCCAACACTGCTTTCACAATGAGACTTCAAATGTTTCTAGTTCCACAGGCAAATTCCACTTCAGGAAGTTCAACCTTTCCAAGAGTTCTCCTGGCTTACGGAAGCAGAACTGGCAAATTCCCATCACTACTCACACACGGAGCCGAAAGGCTTGCATTTCCTTGCCAGGGGAGACCCAAGTACGAGCAGCACAAATCTCATTCCAGACTCATCTGCTGTGACTTAGGCTTCACCCACCTCCATCAGTAACTGTTTCTCCCTAATCAGTCGGTTCTAGGGGCTCTCAGTGGAGATCATCAGTCACCGAACGTGGTTCACCATTACACCAGTTAAGTACCAAGATTAAATACACCGACTGTGCTAAAAACCCTGCGGCCTTCTACCTAAGTTGCTGTGGCATCTGTCAGTAACACACCTGCTGATGACAGCAGAGGTTGGCGCGCTCACCTGGCCACTATCGACAACGTAAATAAGGATATCGGCCTTCTCTTCACACAGCCGATGTTTAAGAGCAGCCAAGTCAGACGTGTCGTACGTGTAACCTCCGTCGGATTTCATGATTGTCAACGGGACGGGGAAACCCGGGACAAACACAATCTTCCGGCCATCGTCAACCTGGACAAATCCTAGAAAAGCAACGGGAAACATTCTGTGTCATATTGCAAAGGGAGGTTTGTGGGCCAGCACAGGCAGAAACACTTCCCTTCCCAGATGCTACCAGAAAGAAAAGGCCACGCGCTCTCATTACCAAGTTATCAGTGGCTCAAGATGTCAAAAAACCTAAACGAGGACTCTCTTGCCAACTACCTCACATATCATACTGCCCTTCCAGAACTGTCACGTTCCACTTCTTGACCATCCTTACTAAGGATACAGTAAACTCCAACAGTTCATCATGCTATTCCAAACACAAACTGCTTTTGGTGTCAGCAAGAAAAACAAGCTTTCTAGAACAAAACACAGAAGATGATGCCTCTCTGGGAGGAAACACCACAAAGATCCACTCAGCAAATGTGACTGAGAGAGCAAGGGTGGGGAACATGTCACTTGGAAAACATCGGTCTAGAGCCTTGATGAACAGGAACAAGGTTACCTCGCTCATCCTGACAGCTGCAGAATTACTGACTCTGAGATCAAAAATCTCACCTTTGTCTTCAAATTCTTTCACAATGTCTTTCATCATGTCATGGTAGAATGACTCCCCTCTCTCTATGATTGTGACATCCAAGCAGTTGTAGATTTTCTGGAACTCTTGAGGAGGGACACAGCACAAAATAATTCCATTAAACACAAACTAGTAGTTATATTTACCGATGAGAATAGCAAGTCCCTAAAGACATTTTCCATCTCTTGGTCAAGCCATCGGACTAGGACTCACACCAGACTCAGGAGACACAAGATTTAGCTGAAAGTCTCCACAGACAGCCCAGTACTTTGGCTGTACTGTATTTTCTTTAAGCAGCACAGCTGTGATTTTAAAAACAAAACCAGGGGATGGACTCAGACATAAAGGGGAGGAAAGCCGCGCTGTTCTGCTGCTGAGACACGTATCTGAATCGGGCAAAGTCACCTTTCCGCGACACATCACAGATCAGCTCCCACGCTTTAATGAAGTCTGGGTTTTTGCTCTGCAGCAGCACCACGCATTGATAGGCACGTTTCTTAAATTCCTCCTCTGTGTCAAACCTCCTCTTGGATTCCTACAGTGAAACAAATCCAAGTGAAAAAAAAAAAAAAAGAGCACCGCTTTCTGCCCTCAGTCAAGCTCACAGGCTCTCCAGGTGTACTCATCTCAAAGGATATCTTACAAACTCCTCTGGACACATAGAGGCACCTCATACCACATACTTCAAGTCATTACCCACTGGCAGGTTACTGTCCATTAACAGCAACTCAATTCTTTTGTATCTGTTTGTAAAGCCCCTCAATCTATTTTTCAGATGTTGTCATAAAAATCACATTTGTTTGCTACAAATACCTTGTAAAAAGCTTGGAGATCCCCAATGGGAGGAGAAACCGTTAAGTAATCCGGAAATTTGTCCTGGAGGTGAGCAATGAGCATTCCAAACTGTGTGCCCCAATCTCCTAAATGGTTCAACCTTGAAGTGATCAAAGAGCACAGTAAGAATGATTTCTCAAACATATGCTTTAAATACACACGCTTAAAAGAAGAAACACACACAGCATCAGAAACTAAAACCAGGCAAGCCCCCTCAATTTCACCAGTGCCCACCTTGATTCCTAACCCTGCCACCCTTGCTCAGCTCAGTGTCTCACTACACATAAAAGATTTTTTGTTCTGTGCTTATAAACAAAGATCAATGGGGGCTAGAGACAGGTATTGCATAAAACTAGCCAAACAAGCCCGCCACATCCAAAAATTGATTCTCACCTCAGAACATCATAACCTGCAAATTCAAACAGCCGGCACATACTCTCTCCGATGATAGTAGACCGCAGGTGGCCGACGTGCATCTCCTTTGCGATGTTAGGGGAGGAAAAGTCCACCACCACCTTAGGCACGAGACCAAAGGAAAAAATAAAATGAATCAAAGGCAGCGGTTCTGACCGCACCCCGTGGGTTCAGGCTGGGTTTTACGGGGACAGCAGGGGAACAAGGCTCGCCCTCACACCCCTCACTGCACATGGGAGCGGGGAAGGCTCAGTGGCGAACATCTGCTCAATGAATACTTTGGAGGGAAAGTTCCAAAGCTACCTTGAGCCCAGCACGTTTCACCTCTAGGGCAGCAGGATGCCTTTCAGCTCACGGCCGTACCTTTTTCCTTTTGCCAACAGCTGGTGGTTGGACTCCGTTCACCAATAAACTGCTCAGCTGCTTTGAGACAAAATCCTTTCTCAGGTGGACATTGATAAAACCTTGACAGAAAACAGTGATAAAATCTTGAGAGTGCTGGGGCTGCAGGAGCGCCCCAAACCACGTTTTTGTTTCCTTTCCCCTTGGATTTCCGTTTCCTTACATCAAGGACAAGAGCGTATGCACTTGGCTTGACAAAACAAAGGAAAATTTCAGCAACAGGACAACACAGCTGTCACAGGTTCTGTTCCCAGATTACAAGAGTGTTTCACATCACTGCAGTGTTTGCTGCAGGAGCTAGATGCTGCAAGCTAGACCACTGACATAGCTCCTTTTTGCACGCTGTCACTCCAAGGCGAATTTATAAAAATATTTTTTAATAAGAAAATAAATAACCTTGCCAGGGTTTGCAGAACGCAAAACTCAATCCTTCTTTGTGTCCTTTTTTAAAACTAGTATCTTAAAATGTATTGTTTCACCTGAGATAATCCATGGTTGTGGGACAGCACTATTTTACTTCTGCTTCACAGAGGTAATGGCCAAGATTTTGCCCAAGCACGCTCGAAGGGTTGTACCATGAGATTTTTGTGTTTATGCTGAAGCCCTAAGGAATATGTACCCTTGTATTTTTTCCTGGGTCACAGGGACAAAAAAGCAGCAGCAGTTAATAACCCCAACGTGACTCCAGCATCTCAGTGCTGAGAGAACAAGGTCTCCTCACCATGCAAGCAACAGTGGAGAAGCGCATATTGATTTTTCACCATTGCTATCCATCATCAATATTCAAAGGGGAAAAGCAGGTCTCCTAAGAGGCAGTGGGGAAAAATGCTAATAAAAGGGCTCAGGATTGCATTTGCAAATTCCAATACAGAGGTAGATTTTCTGCTGCTGCACAAGTCTGAGGGCTACAAAGCTCAGGGAGACAGAAGAAGCTAATTCACCCTGTAACTCCAGTTACATCACAAAGGAGTTGTAGTCAACTCAGCTTTAAAACATACAAAGTGTGTAACATGAAACTACCTTACCAGGACCAGCAATTTCAACCCTCTCAATGCATTCGTTGGCAGGAATATTTTTTGCTATGTTCTCAGCGATTTCTCTTGGGCTAACCTTCTGTTCCTTAGTTTTGAGCAGTATCTGAAACACAATAAGAAGATCAAGTAAAATGCAATCTTCCAAAGCATTCTGAAGAGTGAAAACGGGAAGTATACACACCGAGACACTGAAAGATCCTCATGATCCTTTAGTTTCTTAATGCAGAGACATACACACAGAAAAAAGTCTCTAGCAAACTTTACATATTAGATCAGCTCTCTCTACACAGTCGAAGTCCAACTAGACCCAACACGTTCACTCCCCTCCGCTAAGGGCAATTAAAGGGTAGCCCCTATGCCAGAAGAAAAATCTTGTCTGCGATTTTTCAACACCTGTTAAGTGGTTTGGCAAACCTGCATTTCTCTAAGCTAGTAAAAAGGGACAAAGTGTTTAAAAATCAACATAGTTGGCACAGTCCTTCACACATCTTCAAAATCCTGTTCATTTGTCTCATGGGTATCCTCAGCTCTGCCAGCATTCAGACTTGAAGTTTTGAACTGTGCCTTCAGTAGATGCTGAGTGTGGTTTCAGAGCGAGCCTACATGATGAAAAGTAACCAAAGCAAACTGCCTCCAGTCCTACCTTAGACTCAAGCTCAATAAATAAACGAACACATAAAATCCAACAACCCAAGCAACCAAAGACAATCCCAACACTGCCCAATTTTCTTCAAAGAGCACCAGAAAAACTCAGCATCGCAAAAATACAATGAATGATAACACTAGAATAGTTTGGGTTGGAAGGGACCCTCAAAAGATCATCTAGTCCAACTCCACAGTTTCTCTGTCCATTCCCAAAGCATCTCCTCACACAGCTTTTTACAAATGTTACAGACACATCCTTTAGGAGTATTCCTGAGCTACCCCAACCCGTCCCTTCCAGCCCCCTACATTAACACTGAATAAAATTACCCCATCAGTTTCCCATTCTTACCATGATGTGTTAGAAAATAATCTACCACCTCGCTCCCATCAAGGCCACAAAGAGCAGGCACCTCCGTCAACTCAGAACTCACACTCACTACTGCCTGTGCTTGCTAGCTTGCAGCCTCCTGCAAAACGTGCCTTCTACTTGAGTTTCAGCTTCTTGCTTACCCTGCTGTACAGCTGATCGGAGCAGGATCCTTACAAGACTGTAAAAGCTTAGAAGAGGCAAGAAAAGACAACCTCTGTAACCTTTAATGCTGCTTGAAGCTCAAACTACAGCAAAAAAATAAATGCAAAACCAGATTAACAGGCATATTCTCATAGTTAACAGGTGTGTTATCTGAATCCTTCCAGAAACAATTGCTGTACTCCTATTACTCTAAGGAGCAAGCAGAGCTCCTGACTCAAACCCTGGGCATTAATATGCTAACGAGCTCCCAGGAAAACAATCTGCATTTGTGAGGGCTGTTTCCACCTCGGTGCATCGCAGTGAGAGGCTGCTGCCTGGCACGTACCAGCGAGGTTGCTGCCTGGCACATCCTGGCGCTGGCCCACAGCGGGGCAATTCCCGCTCCTCTGGCAGCCTCAGCGAGGGGGGTTCCGGCTCTGCACAGGGGATGTCCCAGGGCACCAAGGCTCTGCAGGGAGATGGGCACCACAGCCCAGGCCCTAAAACTTAGGCCAATGGAAAGGAGACAACCTGCTGCTCTCAGAGGGAAATGATCAAGCCGCGTCCCTGGGCTCTGTTGCACGGAGACGCTCTGAGCGTGCGGCCTGAGCGAGTCCTGCCAAGCTCGGGCCCAGCTCACACAGCGCTGCCTTTCCAGGGAACAAACTCTACAGCCAAGCCCGGTACGAGGAACCCTTATTCACCAGTACAGCTGACAGTCTGGAACTCGAAATCCCTGGCTCGAAGGCGACCGTTCAGACACGGAGTTATGCGAACAACGTCGACATTGAGAAGCCAACCTCGCTCGAGAATCCAACCGCAACTTAATTGGGGTAAAGCAGCGGTCAGAAAAATGGCAAAGCTCTGAACGGCCGTGTCAGCACGGTCACCCGGGGCGCTCCTCTGGCTGGAGCCCAGTCACAACCTGCTAACAAGACCAAGAGAGGACGATACGTATTTGTTGGGGCTGTTTCCACCTTGGCGCTTCAGCCCACGAGCCTGCTGGCTGGCACGTATCCGTGCTGCCCGGGAGTCAGGCTCATCGCAGTGGGACAACAGACAGTGCAGCTGCCGACCACAACCCGAGAAAGCAGAATTCGGTGCGTGTCAGTGCGAGTTCAATGTGAAAATCACCGGTCTAACAGATTAATGTAGGTAAAGTGACAACAGAACACTTGAAAAAGGGTTGCTTCCAAGCAGGATCGCAACTCTGGACTTCAGCAGGGCCAACTTTGGCCTTTTCAAGCAATTGCTAGGGGAAACCCCATGGAACAGGGACCTGGAAGGTAAAGGGGCCCAAGGGAGCTGGTCAGTGTTCAAGAACCACTTCTTGCAGGCTCAGGATCAGCGCATCTCAACAGGCAGGAAATCAAGAAAGAGATCCAGGAGACCCGCATGGTTAATCAGG